GACAAACTGTTTCACGGTAAGTTTTGGGCAACATGGTATCAGAATACCTTACCTGCATCTCCTAAAAATAAGGACCACAGCCCCATTTCTCATAACTAAGAAATTAGCGATGATCCCCTGATACCTTGCAGTGTTGCTTGTAGGAGCTGCTCGTGCTGCCCTAACAGCAGAGATGCATTTGCTCACAGTCCTGGAAGCTGGAAGCCCAAGCTGGAAGCAGGCGAGGTAGCTGTCGCCAAGGCCTCTCCCCTGACGTGTGGGGTCATGTGCACCCTGGCAGGTCTGTGTTCAAGCTTTCCCTCATTTAAGGACACCCGTCAGACTGGGTCAACCTCCAGAGCAAGCTTTCCTGCACTCTGCACTGTGCCCAGCTGTGCCTGGGACAACTGTGAGGTCAGTGTGTGTTAGAACAGCCGCAGCATGAGGTCCTGCTGTGTACTGGGCCCTGTGACCTACCCAAGCTGCCTTCACCCACCAGGCAAAGCAGTAACCTGCCAGGAATCACTGTGGAGAGGTCTCAGACAATGGGAGACAGAGACACAAGCCCAAGCCTCTTGGCCACAGCACACAAGCCACTGATGCTGCTCCAAGACCTGCTTTTGGTGCCTTTGATGCAGGGAAGGCCAGATCAGGCCTTTGGCCTGCTGGACAGCTGACCCTCAGGCAGCTTCCTAGCCTGAATGGACCTCTTCATCTTAGTGACCACCCTTGGAAACAGAAGTTTTACTGAAACAGGGACCCCAGTCTGCCCACAGGCAGTGCTGTGCTAAGATCCACAAGCAGAGCGCTGTCAATTTTCTTCCTCAAGGTTGATGAGCTTTGCGCTCTGAGCTCTGCACCCTTATGAGCAGGATGTCTGCCCGCTGCCTCCACTCCCAGGAGGACGATCCTCTCCAGGGCACACATGTCCTGCCTTCATGCTGGTCTCCATATTTCGGGATCTGCAGAGAACAAGCTGTTGAGCTTCTCAGAGCCTCGAAACAAATGTGATGGGATGACTTACTCCTTTTCCCCAAGGATGATGAGTCCAGATAAAGTCCCTTCAGGGTGTGAGCAGTGGGAATCATGAAACCAGCATTAGTGGGTGTTGTGTAACGGGTGGGTAACCTCAAGCCATGTCCACCATGCACCCACCCCAGCCCAGGGAGATGGAGACCCGCCCATGGCACTGCTCCCATTGGTTGAACGAGTCCTGGTGTCATGACCTGTGGGAGTGAGATGCTGGCCCTTCACCAGTGTGTGGCTGTCCCCACTCACCACACGGTCAGGGTGAGAACAGAGTAGCCAGCATGTGGACAGAAGCCAAACCTGCAGGGACACTGAGGCTGCAAAGCCTGGGGAGCACGCAGCCCCCACTGAGCAGTTCTAGGCCCACGTTCCGAAGGGCAGTGCCATGGAGCTCACCCTGATGACGTGGAGATTGTTTGCCCCCGACAAAGGAGGCCTGAGGAGCTGCTGCCCGCAGGCATCCAGGTCACGCTGCAAGACAACATTCCAGGCAGGTGAAGCTTCCCTGTGCTTTCCCAGGATGCGCTCAGGTGGAATAGAAGAAGGTTCCAGATCATGAATCCATTCATGGCAAAGCTGCAGTGCTCTCCAGAGCACCAGACTTGGCCATCTTCCAAGGCTGTTTGTCCTGGTAATAATCAAGGAGCGATTCTGGAGCTTGTCTGTCCTCTGGGCACTTAGCAAACCCACTTGCTACTTTCTGACCACGCAGCCCACCGTAAATGCATTTTGCTGGTTCCACTGACCTTAACTCAGGTGCACGACCACCTCAGTTTCGAACCCATTCCTGGACTCCTTGCTGGCTGTGGGGCAGACATTATCCTACAAACCCGACATCTTAAAATGTTGAGGAATTTACTGAGCACCATCTGGTTGGCACATGACCAAGCTGACATTCAAACTGTAATCAGCCACGACGATGTGGCCTCTGCCAGGGACACCACTTGAACTTCCCTCCTGGGCCTTAGTGTCCTCAGCCTAAAGCAGGAAAGTATCGCAGTGTTCCAGGACCAAAGAGGACATGCGTGGAGCCATGAGCTTACAGTGTGAGCATATAGAGTATCTAGAGACGCTTGGAATGTCTTGAATGGGGTTCTCATGCACAGTAGACACCTCAGGATCACACATGGTGGGTTAGTGCCGTAAGTTTCTTGCTATTTTTTTTCTCTCTGCCTCATAACACCTACAACTGTGGAGCTTCCTACAGGAAAATAACTGTTACCAGGCCAGGAACAGAAGGAAGGAGCTACGTGAATCCCTGTGTTTTCCTGGTTTCTTAAGCAAGTTCTCAGACTAAGTTTTGAAGAATACACCTACTTGTTAATTGAAGTGTAAGCCACAGGGTGGCCATAAATTTTTGCTGGGTGACTCTCACATGTACTGCTCACTCCCAGGGAGACGTGTGTGTTTCACCTGAAGGACCAGCTTCAGTGAGCCCAGAACAGGTGGGAGACAGGAGTGCACAAGACCCCCAGTTCTCCCTTCCAAGTTACAGTGGACCTCTGGAGAATGGCACCACCTGCCCAGGACACACTGCCTCCTGCCCAGGACACGCTGCCTGCCACCCAGGCCTTGCTGCCTCCCACCCAGGCCACTCTGCCACCCGCCCAGGCCACACTGCCTGCCACCTAGGACACACTGCCTCCCACCCGCGCCACTCTGCCACCCGCCCAGGCCACACTGCCTGCCACCTAGGACACACTGCCTCCCACCCAGGCCACGCTCCCTCCCACCCAGGCCACACTGCTGAGGCTGGCATTGTAGTAATCTGTCTATTAAGGTGCTCAGGGACATGCTGTTATCCTCTCATGGGCCCCCATAAAAGATGAGCAGGAAAAGGGAATCACAGAAGGAAGTATGGGCTGGAGGCGGCCATCCCTGCCCTCTGTCCCTTCCAGGACAGCTCCAGGGCCTCCCAGGGAGGCCTGCGATGGCCAGTATTAAACACAGTAACTCCACCATTCCTGTAAAGCAGTGTGTTGATATAAACTCAGATCAGGAGCGCTAGGCTTTTAAAGCCCTGTCCTCAACTCACCACTGTCTTTGGGCGGGTGACCTCAGAGGAGGCGGATGAAGCTGGACCCGCATCCCCCATACAGAGCAGCTTTAGCAGTCTGTGGACCTGTCCACAAGGCACCAGCAGGCTCAGTGCCCTCTGCAGGATGCACCCTCTGCCTCCAGGGACCAAGCTCACAGACTGCATTTTCCACTCCCTGAGACGCCCAAGCTTATGAAGCATTTTCTTAATTTTCTGACGAGAAAATCCAGCTGCTACTCAGCCCCTGGGCTGCCTCCCAGTTTCCTGTTGCTGGTGGCCCTGACACAGAGGAGCGGCAGCTGGGCTGAGCAGACGCCCCTATGTGGTCTCCTCCCTGTCCATACTTGCTCCAGCCCTGCTCTTTCTAGAGGTTTCTCTGGCTACTGGGCGCAGTGCCAAGCTGCAGTGTCACAGGTGTATAAGGTGGCTGTGCTGGAAGGCATGTGCCAAGGCAACGCTTAGGGTAACCCTCCGGAACCGTGGAAGCAGCTGCCAGTGCCGCTCTGTGGCCCAGGCCCGGGGCCCGGATTGTTGTCCTGCTTCCCAATATCTGTGCAGCGGTGGCACCCGGGCTGCTTGAACTTAATTTTCAGGGTGGCGTTGGTGGTGCGTTCGGATGTCAGAGTTGGCTGATTTCCCTGGTCAGTTTTATTTTGGTTTCCTGCCTCCACCAGTTTTCAGTCCCTCGAGAATAAATGGTGAGGAGACTAAAGCCTTCGAGCCCACATGGCTCCTGTGTCACTCAGGAGTTGGGGGGGTGGCTCAGACTTAGGGGGGTGACCTGGTGCCTCCACCACATTCAGGCCTCACGCATACACGGACAGGAGAGCAGCTTATCCCACATACATCCTCGAGCCGTTCTGTCCCCAACACCTGATGAGGGTGGTCACACGTGTCCATCCACTAGTGTGTCGGCCTCTGGCACTTTCCCGCTTCAGACCACAGGCACCATCAATCTCACTGAGCTTCTAAGTAAAATCCCCAAAGAAGTGAAAGAAATAGAAAGGTCAAGACCCTGTGGCATCACTGCCCATCCTGAGCTGCCCCATAGTCGGAGCCGTTTCCTTCTGATGTCCAGGCATCTGCAGGGACCTTGGGGAGGCAGGACTGGGGCAAAGGATGTGCTCTGCCCTGGCACCTGCTCCAGAGGCTCCCATGGGGCTGTCTGTGTTCTCAGAGGACAGACCCGACGTGTGGCTGTGGCTCTGTACCCCCAGAAGGTCATGAAAGCTATGCAGCTGAGATGCCACCTTGCGCCCAGGCCCAGCTGACACCTACCCGGCAGGGAGAGAGCGTGCACATGCCTAGGGAAGGGGGACCTTGCTGCGGCCTCCTCCTTGGTGAGCCTCCCAGTGAGATCCCACTGCAGAAGTTAGCAGGTGTCTTCAGGTGAGCAGGAGCGGTGTCCAGTGCTAGCACTGAGAATAGTCTCACCTCAGCAGGCCGCATGCACCATCAGTCCTCCTCACCCAGGCCAGTGTCAGCCCTGTCCAGCCAACTGGCCTCTAAGCAGCATGTTTTATTCTGCTGAGTCTCTGCCTGTGTGTTTCTCCTCTGCTCTTTCTTTGTCCCTTACTTTCCTTTTAAAAGTAAATTCTAGTAACTCAAGGCTGTAACCATGTATTGACCATAACAACTTATATTTTGGATGGTGGCCTGTTGGTTGACATTGATGTTTATATTTATTCACTCTGTGTTGGCAAACATGTCTGTTATTTAAAACACAAGAGTTTTGCAGAGGACACTGACCTTGGCATCTAAGCTATCCGTGTGACAGACACCGGGACCCTGGTGTCCTCCCACGGAAGACCAGGCTGTCTGCCTATGGTTCAGACAGGCCACCAGCGGTGGGAGGAGGGAGGTGCCGGCATTGACACTGGGGCAGGGGCGGGGCCCTCAAGGCGCAGGGCATGGCTGTGCACACTCTGACCACCTGCTCCTCTGTCACTTGCAGACGACCACTCCAGGATCCTGCTGAAACCGGAAAACAGCCACAGCAACTCAGACTACATCAACGCCAGCCCCATCGTAAGTGCCCTGCTGGGGCTCTGGGCTTTTTCTCAGGTCGTGAGGACGTGGCAGAGCCAGGCAGGAGGGTCTCAGTGGAAATGGAAGCCCCCATGCTCTGGGCCCCAAGCTGTGATGGGGCTGACTCTGCCCCAGGCTGACTCTGCGCCACTGGGCTCCTGGCCCCACTGGACTCCTGGCCCCACTGGGCTCCTGGCCCCAGAGGCTGCAGAACATCCAGCAGTTGGAACAACGTCCCGATCAGAACCCGGGGCTTTCAGGGACGTTCACCACACTCGGTGGCGTTGTCCTTTCCCAGCGCCACTTAGCACCTGTTTATTCTGGGAGGTGGAGAAACTAGGCCCACCTTGCCTCTTTTCCAGCCATCACTGACACTGAGGCAGGTTTAAACTTGTAGGTTTCTTTCCTGTAGGTTTTCCCAGCAGCAATGTGCTTCCTTTGTAAGAACAAGGACGTGTATGGGCCACGCCTCCTCCAGGCAGTGCAGGAGAGTGGCTATGTCCCCAGTCTGGGAACAGGGCATGAGCCCTGTGACCTCGGGGCCCCACTACCAGGCAGGGTTCCTTACCAACCCACACCTGGAGACTCATCCTACCACCTCCCTTAGCTCTGGACATCGCAATATCCTCCCTATCTTGAACCTCGAGGGGCAGAGGCTGAAAGGAAACGTGGTGGGCTGCTGGGGCCAGGCAGGCAGCCATGGCAGGAGGACATGCAGTGTAACTCTCCAGAAGGGGGTGTGGAGACCAGGCCCAGTGGCCTTTTAAACCAGCGGGCAACAATCGAGACTTAGGCAGATTTACAGTGGACAATGGTTGTGATGCTTCTCCCCTTTAAATAGCTTTTCTCAATCCTGATCTTCAGGGAAGCATGAGGGCATCTCACTAAAATCCCACTTTGTACTCACTCAAACATGGTGCCTGCAGGTGCCACGCTGAGCCAGGGCACAGTCAAACCCCTCATCCCTTCACAGGGCGCTCTGCAGCAAAAGTGCTGGCCCTTCTGGTCACCAGAGCCACTGGCAGTGTGGACGCTGCCCAGCCCCACGGTGCGCTGGGAGGCAGGTACCGAGTGAGACCTGACCTGGGTGCTTTGTCTACGCCCCCTGAGCCCAGGCTTATGTTGACAGATCATTGTTAAGGAGGAGAAGCCTCTTTACCTCCCGCAGAGGTGGAGTCCAGAGACTGCTTCCATCTGGGTTTCATCGGAGCCTTTCTCAATAAGACGTCATATGTGGTGGGTTTCTGTCAATTCTAATTCAAATAACCAAACCAAAGCCTTGCTGACCTTGGGCCATGACTAGAGTGTCATTCCGGGGAAGTTAGGCTTGCCAGTGCCTGGGTTTGGCTCCTGTTCTGCAGACAAGAAGCCAACCCAGAACTAAGAAAGAAAAGGCATTTTCTTCCTATTGAAGCCCCCTTTACCTAGAATGAACAATTTGACTGGGCCAGAATTAGAAATAAAGCCATTATTTACGAGTCTAAACCCCAAGAGTTCAGTACTATGACTGTGGCTGCGCCAAAGTGGCCCCCACGTTGCAGGTTCCAATTTGCAGATGTCTGAGCCCATCCAGACCACGGTCTGGTCTCATGAAGAACGGTGGTGCTCGGTGCCACCATGGACGCGGTCAGGCTCACATGGCACTGAGGGCGGGGTGTCCGATGAATTCTGCAGTCCGTGCAGGTCCCCTGCCTCTTCTAGTAGCAGGGATTTGGAATGACCTTCCAGGCCTCACCAAGCAGGAGCTTGGGCAAGAGATGAGGCCAGGAGAAGTAATTTTATGGTGCCTTTTGTGTTCTCCCTTTATTTCATGACACAATTCTTTTTCTTCAAATCTGGGTTGTAAGAATGAACTAGGAGAAATCCATGGAGCCTCTTCTCTCTGAAATAACTGAAGCTACAATGATAATGACCTTCCCTGCAGCAGCCGAGTGAAAAGCTCACAATTACAGCCTGGGAAGACCCCGGCTGTGCAGAATAAAACTATGATAATTACATCTGTCATATTTGTGCTTGGGCCTCATTAAATTTCAGGGAAGTCATCCAGTAGTAAATAATGTGCAATCTTTCCTTTTAAATCAGAGGTCATGAAAGTAAATGGGAATTTTGTTTTCCCGCATGGGGTGTCTGAGAGACAAACCCATCAGCTGCGTGTGAAACCTCTGCTGGGTTGTTACCGAGGACTGTCAGACACGGCACACAGTTATCAGAGGGCAAGTCTGGAGTTCCCAGTGACACTTAAAAATGAGCTTCATCTTCATTCCACTGCTCATTAAAGGAGAAAAAAATTGTTTAAAGTTCCAATTCAGAGTACATTTCGCTAATTTAAGTACAGACAGAGAGCACCTCAGGAAAGGGTGTGAGCTCAGCATTGTAAGAAAGGCCGTGCCCTTTTCCTCCTCCCACAATCCCTTGTGCTCTTCTTTCCAACTTGGACCCTGCAGAATGGCTCCCTCAAAGAAGGGTGACAAGAAAAAAAAGGGCCAGTCTGCCATCAGCGAGGTGGAGACTTTAAAATACACCATCAATATTCACAAGTGCATCCATGGAGTGGGCTTCAAGAAGTGTGCCCCTGGGCACTCAAAAAGATCTGGAAATTTGCCATGAAAGAGATGGGAACTCCAGATGTGCGCATTGATACCAGGCTCAGCAAAGCTGTCTGGGACAAAGGCATAAGGAATGTCCCATGCCGTATCCGTGTGCGGTTATCTAGAAAACGCAATGAAGATGAAGATTCAACAAGCAAGCACTCTACTTTGGTCACCTATGTACCTGTTACCACTTTCAAAAATCTACAGACAGTCAACGTGGATGAGGACTAACTGGTGCTTGTCAGACACATCAAATAAATTTATAAAATAGGAAGAAAGGAAGAACTCAGGATCTGAGTCTCTGGTTCTCAGAAAATATTTACAACCAAACATCTGTGTGTATAATTAGGGTTTGTATTCAGTATTTTACTTAAATCTCTGTGTATAAGAATAAAACACAAAAAGAAGTTCATAATAGTTCGTAAATCAGTCCTCTCCTGTTGATCATCAAAGTTACAATTGTCTAATTGCGGTTTATATTCACTGTTTTACTTAGATAAAGTTCAACACAAAAGAATAAAACACAAAAATAGTAAAAGTTCATAAATCAATCTCTCTTCCCATTGACCAACAAAGCTGGGAACAATTTTCCAATAAATTCCCACCCTAAGACTTGGTATCTGGAAAAGTATCTTGATGACTCAGGCCTGATATGTGTTTGTTTTCCAGAAAGGATTCTGCCAAAGTTGCTTTAGGATAGAAAATGTTAGCAAAGGTGAGGCAGAGGTGAGCAGAGTGGAGCTCAGACAGAGGGACAGAGCATGCAGTCACTGTCATGGAAGGCTTCAGAGCCAGGCACATGATCCTGCCACCTCCCCTAAGTTGCCCAGATTGTCCCTGAGACTTCTGGGTCATGACTGATAGAGGCCGGGACTGGTATGGGGTAAGACCTGGCCCTGCCTGCACCTGCCCACCAGGTGGCTCAGGGCCATTGTCTCTCTGAGCTCTTCAAGGCTGCAGGACTCAGGGCCAATGGTCTCAACATGCTGATGCTTTATTTTTAAAATCAGTTTCATTTGGAATATTGGGGGAAATATGGCTAAGTTTTTAGATGCAGATTAGCATTTCTAAAGATAAAATTAGCTGCCCACGCCCATTTCACAATTGCTATCCCATAGCTCAAGCAAATCTCTAGGTTGTTTTTTAAACTATGTGTTTAAAAGTAGGTAGGAATACACCTTACTTATGCCCTGTTTCATTTGATTTTTCCTAAGAATCAGCCTTCCAAGGGATAATAGATTCAACACAAATGGTTTTCCTTTTCTTAAAAAAAAATAATAAAAGCAAAATTATACATTAATCATGCTTGCCCTCTGACCATCTATTTTCGTGAAGTGGAAATGAGTGAACTCAGGTTCTCCGGGCAACGTATGTGCCTGCAGAGTCCTCCGCCATCTCACCCTTCCAATGCCCAGCCACTCAAGCCACCAGAAAGCACCTAAATTTGGTGCTCACGGAACCTTCTTTCCTGCATGGTTCACAGAGGAGAGCATAGACATGTGCCGGCAGCCCCAGGCCCCCCACGGCGAGGTGTCTGTCAGTCTCCAGATCTTCACTGAGGGTTTCAGGCATACACTAAGGTGCACTCATGCATGTGTATACAGCCTGCTCACATACACACATGGAGCTCAGAGCAAGCAAGGCTCAGGGCTGGAGTCATCCGACCTGCTCACTCGCCAGCCACAGCCACGGAGGAGATGCCACGGAGGAGATTAACAGACTCTGAGGTCATGCTGTCGGTGTGAGAACATAACGTACAAATAGTAAGCATGTTACAAAGATGTGCAAAGTGGCAGAATGGAAGGAAGGAGGTGGAGAGCAGAGGCAGGTGTTGTGGGCGCTGGGGGAGTGGGTGGAGATGGCTGTCCCAGGCCTCCAACACACTTATCCTGCCTTGAAAATCTTACATGTCTAAGACTTCTATGTGTTTAGTTAAATGTTTGCTTTGCTTTTATCCACTTAAAGCTTCATGAAACTGTGATGAGGTTCTGGCTGCCTTACACTATGTGCTTGCCACATGTGCAGAATGCCCAGAATTATTTTCTGTTCAACAGAATGTGCATGGAATGAAATCATTGTAATCATCTTTTGAGCTATTCTTGAGCTGATGACACATCTCACTCTCGGGAGTCGTGCTATTCACAGCCTTCCTGGCAGTGGGGTGGGCTGGACTGTGAGGCCCGTCCGTGTCCTCTCCAGCCGCCTCCCAGTGTCCATGACTTTCTTTTCTTCTGTCTCGGGCATGTGAGCAGGTGATGGGTTTCAGGAATTCAGAGCACAGTCACAATTCAGACCTATCACCAAAGCTGCCTTCCTGACCCTCCTGAAACCCTGTCCAGATTTTCACTTTTCATCACTTATTTTTCATTTTGAAAGCAACTAAATGTGCTAGTTTGAACAGGTTCACAATTTTAAAATGTGTTGCTGTCAGAATTGCTTTGGGCAAAAAAGTGCATTTGAGAAGGAGGTGGAGTTTTTCTTTTGATGCGTAACTATTTTCAGAGAAGAGACAGGGGTCTCTGTAAATAGCTGTCACCCCCAACAAATGCATATTTCAAAAAAATCTAAACTCCTTATTTCTGATAAGCTTTTTTCTATGGAAACATTTTAATTGGGGCTTTTAGTGAGAGTAACATAATTTTACCTGTATTGTGTGTGTTGTGGAGAATTTCAAAACGAAGTCCAGTTTTAATTACGCATCACTAAATCAGATGCACAAAAAGCTTTTCTCCCTGTGCCCCCACCCCCGCCCCAGCGAGCTCAGCATTGTTGCTCTGCTAGAATAACTTACATCTGCTCCTTTATGTGTGTCCCTCTTCTATGGGAGCATAATTATAAGGTGCACGGGTGCATTCTTCTGTGCTGACAGCCGTCATCTCTGCCACCACGGTGGCTGTGTGTGGACGGGCTGGATCAGTGCAGAAGAAAATGCCTCCGCCAACTCCTCCTCAAACCCAAAGGCAGGGCAGCGATTGGGGTGCCGCTGGGCCCATGGCTGACATCCTTGCTGTTGGCTTACAGGTCCATGCGGCTGTGGCTAAAGCGTTCTCCTTTTTCACTGTATTGAGAACTGTATTCTTACCAATCATCTTTAAATACGAAGTGTTTAAAATCTTTAATCAAACCCCAATGTCAAAAGAGCTAATTCTAGTTCTAGACAGGAAAGAACAAAGGAATGTATGCGTTTCCTCAGCAGCTGTCTTACCCAAAGGGGAGATTCTAGCAGCGCAGCCTCACCCTATCTTCTGGGTCGGCCTCTGTGGACCTTTCTGGGAGTGTGGGGAAGCGCTAGGGGACAGTAAAGATGACCTGGTATCTCTCTGTCCTTTTCTGGGTGGCCTGGGCTTGCCAGTCAGGGACAGAGCCCAAAACAGCCCTCTGCAAGCTGCTGCAATCCTACCTGCTGCCCAAGGCTTTGTTCTCGTGTTCTGTTTAGTTTTTCCCCTGCTTGGCCAGTCTTTGAATTAAATGTTATAATTAAGGTCTTTTAAGCCAGGCTTCCCCTGCTGGAGCTCACAGGGTGCATTTGGGCAAATCCACAAGCCACAAAGCCCACACCGGCGGCCTTTGTTTTCAGCCCCTTGTGTGGCAGGAGAACCAGAACAAGTCCTCAGCTGGGGGAACCACAGCTCCCACAGGAGCTGCTACCCTAGCTCAGGGTGGCAGATCCAGGCCCAGGCACCTGGCTGTGTCTGAGCCCTCTGCTCAGAATAAATAAAAGAAAAGTGAGGCAGGGACTGTTGACTCCTTTCCCATGATGTGGGCGAGTCTGGCCCCAGGGCCTGGGGGGGAGTGTCCTGGGGGGTGCCCCCGGTCCCCCTCTCCAGACCGTAGGCCTGCTTCCCCAGCAGCATCCATGGGCCTAACAGGTGCACTCTCAGCATGGGGTGGACTCAGCAGACTGACAAGTGCCCCCAGACCCCGTTGGGCTGCTGGTCTTCATTTCTGTCAGGACTATGGCAGGCTCAGGCTCTAATACAGAAGAGTCCACCAGGGTTTTCTCCTTCCTCAAGAGTCATGTGTTAAGGGGCCTTGGGGGTAGGGCAGGCCGCCTCCACCACCCTCTAAACCGGGGCTCTACCCCCCACAGTCTTCCTAACTTTCCAGCTAACACTTGTCTCCTGCCTCTGTCTCTGCAGATGGACCATGACCCAAGGAGCCCTGCGTACATTGCCACCCAGGGGCCCCTTCCTGCTACTGTGGCCGACTTCTGGCAGGTGAATTTTTTTAAGTAAAATTTATTTTTATGAAAAGATCTGAATACGTCAATCATGAGTAATGCTTTGAATTCAGGTAAACCAATTTGGACTTGTTCATCAGATGTTACTTGATATGTGTGTGTGTGTGTGTATGTCCTTAAGTATTTCTTATTATGCATCTTTTTTCAAAACTTGAGTGTAAAATAGTTCCCTTTGAGCTCAGTGGTTAGGGTGCCAGCCACATGCACCAAGGCTAGCAGGTTGGAACCCAGCCCAAGCCAGCTAAACAACGACAACAGCAACAACAAAATAGCCGGGTGTTGTGGCAGGCACCTGTTATGTCCCAGCTACTCGGGAGGCTGAGGCAAGAGAATCACTTGAGCCCAAGAGTTTGAGGTTGCTGTGAGCTGTGACGCTATGGCACTCTACCAAGGGTGACATAGTGAAACTCTGTCTAAAAAAAAAAAAAAGACAGAGAGAGAGAGACTTAATGCTTTCAAGAGCTTTACTTTTTAGCCATTTTACAATTTCATTTTATAAAATAGGGAAAGTTAGTAAATGTTTATTTTATTCAAATGTGCCCTCTTACTTATTGTTTTATTCTCATAAAGGTAAAATGTGGTGTTCACATCCTAGTTCACCTTCTCAGTGGACTCCCTGTAACGCATCTCTTTGTATCCAGCATGATCCTAGGTCACCCAGACTGAGGTCAGGCCTTCCAGCGGAGGTCAGTAGTTGGGGCAAGGGCTTCCTGGCCTTTCCCTCCCCGCCCCCAGCATCAGCCCCAGGGTGGCGACATAGGAATGGATTTTGGAAAGAGTTGCTATGAGGGGGGGTTGCCCAGCAGTAGGGCTTCATTCTTGTTCTGCAGCAGTGATAACTCCTGGCTGAACACACCAGGTTTCTCCAGACCCTGGCTCCAGAGCTTCCCTGAGGGGGTGGAGCTGAGGACAAAGGTGTGAAAAGGAACAGAAGAGCCAGTGGCAAAGCCTGGAGACTGCAGGTGGGAGGTTGCCAACATCCAGCTCGCTGGTTTAGGAGCACAGGGGTTATAGCTAAAGACCCGAAAGTGACCTGTTCTCCAGGCCCTTCCTCATCCCTTAGCCTCTTGTTCCCTCCCCAGCTTCCTTGTCAACCCTCTCCAGACTCCACCCAAGACAGGGGAATATTCCTCGCCCTGCCCTGAAGGACAGTCTCTGCAGAGGTTTTCTGGAAAAGTCCGCAGAGGACCAGACTTACCGAGAGCTGCTGAGTACCTCATGACATACTAATTAACTCTCAGGTGCTGCCCACTTCATGGGCGTGGCAGAGGGGTACTCAGGAGTCACCTAATTCATCCAAATCGACAAGGGTGGGACCAAGGTTTGAAACATGTTGGAATGACCGCCTGCTTTTCTATCCGCCTATGTCTTCTTGCTACTGGGGGAAAAACTAGACGGAATCTCTGGGTCACCTTGTTGAAACCTGTGATCATGGCATATAACCAGGGACCTCTGACATTGGAATGGTATTGAGGACCCCATGGTGCCACCCCCACGTGGAGCTCCAGTTCCCTCCATGTTTCACCTGCAGAGAGCTATCCAGCCTGGGGGAGAAGCCACAGCTACAGAGAGCTCCACACCTTCGGGCTGTGTGTCTGGGGGCAGCTCTGCATGGCAGGGGACTCTTCCCCACACCACAGACAGCTGTCTCCTTGAGCCATAAACCCAAGAGGCCCAGCCCTGCTCCTGGAACAAAATCCAAGGATCCCATCTGAGACTTCCTACTCTCCAGGGCAGGGCACGGCATCCTGCAGGGGCTGGTGGGACCCAGTGCCCTCTTTGTGTGTGGCACTGAGGGCTCCCAGTGTGAGTTCTTTCATTTATGCTAGCGCCAGACCTTGACCACCAGCTCCAAGTTCATCACTCCTTTCTGCCAGGATTGGGCTTCTCAAGGTCACATCCACACTGAACCACGACCATCCGCATCTGCTGGCTGCTGATCCTACATGAAGAGTTTCGAGTGTTCACATAACGGTCTCTGGGACCCTTGAGACTCTCAGGCTCATAATATGCCCACGTTCAGACAGCTGATAAATTAAAGGATGAGCTTCCTTACTGCTGGTTGCAGATAGTTACAATCAGAGGCAACTCGTTTGATCAATATTTTCAAGTTATGGAACATGTTAGAGAGATTGTCAAGGAGTATACATTCTTGAAAGGGGAAGAAAACATCTCTAAATGAAATAACTAGAGAAAAACTTTAAGGCAGATGAAGTGCCAGGTAGGTGGAGACTTGCCTCAGTCAGCAGCGAGGTTGACAGCTCTGGGACGAACCAGTGCTGAGATGGGGGTGCTGCAGCCACAGGCCTGGCCCTCCTGGGTGTCCCTGTGTACATGAGGCTGGCAGAGCCCTGAGATGCATCGCCTCACATCGTCAGCCACCTTGAGGGGCCCTCCATCCATGCAGGACACACTTGGAGGCACCCTGCCCTGTTGGGGGAGCAGAATTGGAGACACTGGCCACTCAGCTCAGAGGATGGACGGCCTCTGACCATGTGCTCCGAAGGTCAGCCTTGGCCACCTCACTCCTCATAGAACAAATGCCTCAGAGGTTCTGGGAGACTCTGCCCCAGGCCCTAACTGCTAGCACCCATGTTGCTCATCAGTCTTTGGCAGGGAAGGGGTGGGGAAATGCACCACCCATCTCAACCTCCCTGTCAGTTGTCACATGGCCTTCCCCTGCAAGGTGGGGGAGGGGGCTGTCTGTCTCCAAAATTCCATCTTCTTATAAAAGCACCAGGCACTGGACGTAGAGTCCACCCTGACCCACAGAACCACCTTCACTTGGCTTGTCTGTGAAGACTCTCTCCAAACCAGGCCAGAGGCCCAGGGTCCAGTGGACGTGGCTGAGGCAGACAACACTATTCTGCACAGTACAGGGCCAGAGAAATCAGTGACCCAGCCCTACGAGCATCTGTGGTCAGGAGACCACCCACAGGAGCCCAGAGAGGGTTCTGGTGGACAGGGCAGGGAGCAGGAAATGGGAGGTCAGCAATGAGGGTCAGTAAGTGCGGGCATCCAGAACACTCCATCCCAGGCACCTGCACCCCTGCAGAGCTCACAGTGCCCTCCTGCCTCCACACAGGCCACGGCAACTGGCAGATCCAGAATATGCCTGTGAGCCACCCAACGTTGCAGGCTGATGTGGGGAATTCTTTCCCTAAGTGCACTTCATGCATTTTCAAAATTTTATTTCTAAAACTTTGACTCTTACTTTTAAATTCTTAAAAATAAATAGGCTCGGCGCCTGTGGCTCAAGTGGCTAAGGCGCCAGCCACGTACCCCTAAGGTGGCAGGTTGGAATCCAGCCCAGGCCCGGCAAACAATGACAGCTGCAACCAAAAAAATAGCCAGGCGTTGTGGCAAGTGCCTGTGGTCCCAGCTACTTGGGAGGCAGAGGCAGGAGACTCGCTTGAGCCCAGGAGTTGGAGGTTGCTGTGAGCTGTGATGCCACAGCACTCTACCCAGGGGGACAGCTTGAGGCTCTGTCTCAAAAAAATAAATAAATAAATAACAAATATATGACAGAAAGGAAGATAAAACTCAGGTTAACTACCTGGCTGAGTGTCCCTGCACAGTTCCAGGGAAGACCTGACACAGGTCTGCAGAAGTCAGAGTTAAGGTTCAGAAATCAGTTTTGCTAAAACACGGCAAAATGGCATAGAAATTACTTTTTTTGTTTTTAAGAAATAATACCCAGTCAAGGGAGTCATTTCATCATATACATACTTCTCTGAAAAAAATGCAGTATTTAAAGTCATGCTCAGCTCCTGGAAGCATTTCTTCATCCTCTCTGCTGGTCAGGCCATGTCGGGAGTATATGCGTTTAGTTCGAGGATCATCATTTCATTTTAAAAATGAAAACAAACCAGAAAGTTCTGTGGAAACTGCCCTGTGGAAAGAGCTCTGAAAACCACAGAGGGAAGTACCAGCCACAGAAGGAAGCGTCCTCCAAGGAGTGTGGTCTGGGGCAGGGGGCGCCCTGTCCTGCACAGGCTGTGGCCAACCTGGACACCACAGGGGACTGGCCTTGACTGGCATCTAGACAGGGCAGCACCTTGTGACTTTCTTTCCGGAATCATGAGCTTTGTTCTTTACATCTCAAGGAGGACGGTTTATGTTCTGATGAACTCCAAGTGAGGATCGGCAGTTTGGCTTTGAGGTTCTACTTATTTATCTAGTGCTTCAGAATAATTTCCAGGAAGAGCCTGTCCCTAAGGCCCAGCCCTTGGCTCCCCTGCATTACATTGTTCAGGAGCTTGGATGTCTGGGGAAGGAGAGGAACAGGTCAGCCGTCCACTCTTCCAGTCCCTGCGGACATCAGGCCACCTTACAGGGGACATTGATGTCCAGATCAACGTGAAGATGGGAGAGGGGAGGCAGAGAGGAAAGAGGCTCTAGTGAGTCCCAACTATTTGCTGGACCCTGCAGGAGAAGAGAAAAGAGCATCAAGTAAGCCCCGACTGTATGCTAGACCTGCGAGGGAAGAGAAGAGAGCATCTGGTGAGCCCCAGCTGTATGCTAGACCTGCAGGAGAAGAGAAAAGAGCATCTGGTGAGCCCCAGCTGTATGCTAGACCCCACAGGCAAAGAGAAAGAGCATGTAGTAAGCCCTGACTGTATGCTAGAACCCACAGGCAAGGAAAAAGACCATCTAGTGAGCCCCCGCTGTATGCTGGATCTGCAGGTGAAGAGAAGAGAGTAGTAAGCCCCATCTGTATGCTAGACCACACAGACAAAGAGAATAGAGCATCTGGTGATCCCTGACTGTATGCTGGACCCTGTAGGCACCTTTGACAAGCAACCTCATGCAACCTGCCTGCTGGCCCTGAGGTACAGACACCATGAGCCTCACTTGTCCACAACTGCAGGCAGATGTGGGGAGGGAAAGGAGGCACAGGTCGCTGGACATGGGACAGAATCAGGGCTATCAACTGAAGGGGACAGTCGGTCTGGGAAGATGAGGATGTTCTCGAGA